GCGCTACCCAGCGGCCCCCGCGGCAGGGGGCGGAGTCGGGCCTGCGCGCGGCCTCATGGGACCCCGCGAGGCGGAAGTGGCTGCGACCGGCTGCGGCTGCCTTCCGGGTCCGAGCAAGGGAGCAGCGTAGGGTAGGGCGGAGCGCTCCCTGCCAGCAGCGCCCACAGGCGGACACTGCGCTCCCAACACACTCTGCGTGCGTCCTGCTCCTGGTACGGAGGGAGCGCAGGGCACACCCAGCTGGTGGCACAGGCCCAGCCCATGAGGACGCGGATGGGTTGAAGGCCGACGTCAAGGAAGTGGATGGAGGGCTGGGAGATGGCTGGGGTGCGAAGGACGAGCACCCAGAGGAGAAGCCTCCGCGCACCGCCACCATCTAGTCCTAGCCACAAGCGCAGCCCTGGGTTTTGGAGGGTTTTTTGCAGATGCATAATTCGAAGCCTGTTTTGAGGACACGTCTCACCCTTGAAGCAAGAAGGGAGAGTGGGGGGGAAGAGGAAGGTCGCCAACACCCTTCAGGATGGCCCTGGAGGCTCCAGGAACGAGACTGGCGAGTGACCCGGGGCATTCATTTAAATAAACATTAAATGTAGAATCTGAGTGCAGTAGGCCAGCGCATTTTTAAAGTGTAGTAGTAACGTGCGTCCGCAGTCATCTGCAGCCGGTACGCGTGAGCACGTTTGCGTTGCGTCACAGGCACGCTGGCGTTTCGGAAGCCTGGGATCGATTCAAAACACAAGAGATGGCCACCCTAACCCCAGCCTATATATCAGAGAGCTGTGGTAGGAGGTCATCTTTGAATCAAAGGATTGCTGATGATGAGGAGGAAAAATCTATCAGATAAGAACCTAATTCTGAAACAAAAAATTACCAGTTTCTTTCCACGAAAAAAGCTATATATTAGTATCACTGAGTTAAAAATTTTCCTGTACCAGCAGGGGTGTTACTTGGCAAACACTATCATCCCTGACTTAAGAACCAGCAAAGCTTTTAAAGTGCAGAACCCAACCAAAGCTCCATGAAACGGCCCAGTCCTTCCATAATAAAAATCAACATTTTCTTAAAATGACAAACACAGACACCACCCTTTTTGTAGTCTCTACAAGTTGCCACAGCACACCCATAAGTTCATACATAGCCATTCCTAGATGCATATCGTGCTAAAGGAATATTATTACTATTATATTTTACATTATAAAAAATACGGGGACTCTTGGATCTACATTTACTAAATTCTATTATATTGTTTGGCATAACAGAATAAATCTGGGCAGGAAAAAGGAAAAAAAAAGAAAGGTTTTGGTAAAAAATACTTGTGTTACAGAAATAATGATTTCCATCCATTCAGAAAGGAACTATTAGGCCATCTACGTTTTAAGTAGTTTGTGAGAGGGGCAGTACACACAGTTTTTCCCTTGCGCTCTGATGTCAGATAACAAACAAACAGTAAGGATAAGGAAAAAGGTTGATAAGCTAATCACCCTCCTCTGAGAGTCAGGTATTTCTTTTATAATGGATACTTTTGATCATACTGCAATTTGCAGGAATAGGAAGTTCTGCACTGCTAATATTGACTTCTTGTTCTTTTAAACAGATGCCCCTGATATTGTAATTTGGTAATTAAAGCTAAGTCACCAGAGCAGGAAGCAATTCTTGTGAAGAAGAGCTAGGACTTTCACAGACAGTGATGGTAGATTCCATTTAAAAAGCCAGAAGACTACAGTATCTCCTGGAGGTCTGATTATGGAAGTTGCTCTAGGTACCCTGCCAGTCACAAACAGCCACAAAAACTTACATGCTACATTGACTGGAGTTTGACATTCCCAAATACATTTTATATAAGCATTTTGAAGTAGTATACTTTTTTGGAACAATAACAGCTCTACCAATTATCAGAAGTGATAGTATTAGGATACCAAGCATAGGGAAAAAATTATAGGCAAAGACGATTAAGAGATATTTAGTTAAATATGAATTTGAATTCAGATTTTAATGGTTTCTGGCACCGAAAAATCCCCCTAATGAAAGTGATAATTTGAAAACCTGTATCAGATTTAACTTTGTATTGTTTTCTTCCCTCTATTTATATACATGCAGCTGGATTTGATGCTCTTTCACAAGTAATGGTGGGGAACTAGGAGATCCAGTTTTGTGCATGCGAACTAACAGAACATCTGAAGAGCAGCTAGAATTACACTCTCAAGAGTTCTAGTCCTAATCTTTTAATTATCAGTATTTATTTTAGCATTAACAGTATGCTTAGTATTATACATAACAAAGACATGGCTTAACAAATTCTACCTTAAAAGAAAAATTACAATCTAAAGTGCCGGTTCAGAGAAAACAGCACTAAGGGATTTAACTCTCTCTCACTTAGCTTACCTGTAACTGTAACATTTGGGTGGAGACCAAAGGTAAGCACTGTGTAACAAATGAATTTTCAGAAGACAACAAAGTAAGAAGTTGGGGCTCAATGCAATAACTAGGTGGTCATTCCAGGTCTTGAATATGGGAATGGGAGGACGCAGCTCCCTCCATACAACAGTTTGAGGCTGGCATTGGTTAATCAAATGTTTGGTATGTCCAACTGTTAAACTTATATCAGATATTTATATGGATATCATGTGGGGGGGGAGAAGGAATGGGTTGCAGGGGGTGGGAAGGAGAAAAGGGCGGTGTCTTTAATCAGAGGCCATGAGTGAAGTAGCAGAGGGAACTTATTCCAGTTGCATGTACATCATTACCCTGGAATATTTAAAACTAAATGTACTAATAGGCACCCAATATTACTCCTAGGAATGCTTGAGCAGTCTTGTGCACTCTTCCTGAACAGGTTTTGGCACTGTTCATAGAAGCTTTTGTGGTCAAACATAACACACAAGAGCTAACTTATGAAATGCTAGATTATGCTTTACATTGCCATGCCCTCATGGGACACTACCTGACAACAATGGGGTTGTATATAGCACAGCAGTATTTTTGCACACAATGAACTGCTCAAATGAACAACAGAAGTAAACTGTATACTGAAAACAGCAACCATTGTACATACCTATATTCATTATCACACTAAAATGTTCTGCAAAAATAAGGCAATATCCCAGAAATGAAGAGATTAATAAATTAGAAAGTTTCAGGGTTTTTTTTATTTTATAAGATTTGTTTTTAATTCTATTAAAATAGCAATGTTTTATTTTAAGTCACTGACTCAACAAAGAAATCCGAGTGAACACGTAACTAAGTTATAGGCTTTTAAAGAACAAACTTCAGTTCCAACTACATAAAAATGAAGTGTCAACAATTTTGGCAATATAAAAGTGTATTGTATACATGTAATGAAACAGCAAGTGCATATAATCCTTTTCATCATGTTACACATTCTGAAATGCAATGTTTATTACACAATATTTACAAAATAGACTACTTAATTTTCCTCAACTCCAACACTGCTGATAAAACAGATTATATGAAGCACTTGATCCAAATAGTACAATACTCTTAAAAATCCTGATTCAAAAACCTAATGTTTTATAAACCACACGCAAATAGGAGGCAAACATGCCAGTCTGCATAGTTTTAAATCTGCAAAGTTATGCTATTCAATGCCATAAGGATAAGTTGTTGGGTTGAATTAAGCCTCCTTGGTCATCTGCTGTAAAGCATCCAATCTATCTTAAAACAATGCCAAGATTCTGGAGGGGAACTGAAAGTTGCAGCTCCACATATATGCGCTGAAAAGATGTACAAGAAAAATTCAGAGGAGAAAAAATATAAGTGGACATAAACCATGTGTATTTAGAACACACAAGCAGTACTCTGCATTTCCCTGAAAAAATAGTGCAATTATTTTAGTATAGTACTTACTGTATCAAATTAAGAGGTGCTACTTTTTTTTGTGCTATGAACAATGTTATTTCTAAAACATTCCAGCATCCTCTAAACTACGACTTCTAGTTTTTTTATGGAACCATATGCTTTAAGTTTTTCTTCTGTATGCAAAATATTTACACTCTACAAGCCTTGGAGGAGAAGTTCTAATAAACCATATTTCAATATAATTACACAAACTTAATTTATACATAATCCCATTTAATTTTGTTGTTACATTTTGTAGATCAAACTTACCACCACATTTACAATAATTTACAACAGTAGAAGTTTCAAATGTCAACACACACTTCATTTAAAATAACCATTTCAGCTACAAAGTCTTTTACAAAACCTATACTGCAAAACATACTAAATTGACTGAACATCATTAAAACTTCCAAGTGTATGCAAAATATGAATTAAAACATCAAGTAGCAAGGTCTGTGCTGTCTCAAGAAATACTTGTAAGTAATAATAAAAAATGCCTGAAAGGAGCAAATTATAAATTTAACAAGAGAAGCCTCTTAATTAATGACCTCAAAACAGAGTTCATCAAAAGACCATTTCAATGCACACATACTATTTGCAAATCTTGTATACTGAAATCCCTATAAATACTTTATAAAGAATAAGCTTGTTAAACAAATAGGTTAAATATCCACTAAATGTGCTAGGCTATACAAATTTAAGAGGTTACCAACTCATTAATGATAATCTTAAAATTTTTAACCTACTTTGGTATAAAAATTGCTTTGAATAGGCACATTTTATTTTAGGAAATGCATACAAGCACAAACCGTATTGCTAATACTGGACTTTAAAGCAATGTCTTTAAAGAATTCTAGGTTTTTTCCCTTGAAAACTATAATTTAGGCAAATCAACGAAATCAAATCCAGAAAGTTTCACCTACATAATTGATAATTCAAAAACATGTAGTGTTCCATAGTTACCTAAAAAATCATTTTCCTTCCCAAGCCATCAAAATCCTTATCTATTCGTTCTAAAAATCTTCACTTACAGTATAAAAATTAGCCTTTTTTTTTTTTAACATGTCATCTTTGATATATACAGAGCAAGGTGAATTATCACAAGTTTAAATTACCAAAAAAGTTCCTCTTTTTCAATTATTTTGAACAGAAAGCTTAAGTAGTTTTCAGTTAACCAGGAAAATTCTATTCCTGAGTATTTGGCTTTTGAAAGCTCAAGGAAGTTCGCTCAGGAAACTGAAAGTCCTTATCCTGCAGACTTATGCAAGTACTTAGATTTATCCACTATGAATAGTCCCTTTGAAGTCAAAAGCACTATAGACATAGTGTACAAGATCCAGCATATGCTTAAGTTTTTACAGGATGGTGACCTAAACATATAATAAATACATATGTACTAATGAAAAAAATTGTAATTTTATCAGTTTTCTTCAAAAGTCTAAAGCACCCCAGCTAACTGCAAATTGGTTAACACATTCCCAGTCCACAGGTTTTGAAAGGCACATAATGAATTGAAAATTTCTTTCAGTCCTCCTACTACAGAGAAGGTCTAATATGTGGAGTTAGGTAGAGGTCCAAACTAAGGCATTCATATACTCTCCTTTTTGTACTACAGATCTATGTTAAGCACCGCTCGTGGCTTCAGTGTTCTGAAGAAAGCAAACCACATTCTTGCTTCAAAAATGTGTTTGCACATGGGACATCATCTGCGACGGAGATGCTGATGAGGTTGATGAATTGGAGATCTTAGTATTATTTGTGATCTGCAGCTCTTCGAGTCTCCTCACATAGTCATCACGTAAAGCTAATAGCTCCATGTAGCGCTGCTCCACTGGATTTGGCTGCTAGAAAGAGATACAACAAAACATTTTTACAACTTGATTTTACTTGCTCTTGAATGCCCTGAAGTTGCTCCAAATCAGCCCAACAGGTGCCTGGCAGCATTTGATATTTGCATGCTGCAACTCCCTAACAGTGGATATTTCTGAAACGAAGACCCAATGTTAAAAAGTTTCCATTTCTGTATCTATAAGAACCCTCTTTGCTCAAAAGCTTTCTCTGTAGCAAAACATCTAGATTTAGCTTACTACAAAAATAAGTTAATGCAACTTCAGTAACAACTAGCCATGTTTACTGCTGTTTGTTCCCATTCTACGCAGGATATAAGCACATCTAGCCCTTCACAGCTTAAAAATGAAGGATTAAACCAAGACTTCAAAACAGCAGATATCTTGTCTAAAAGGGCCAAGTCACCAGGCTGCAAAAACAAAAATCACACCAGTAATATGTTGGCATCCTCAAAATTAAAGGAGTGTTCACTCTTTTGGTTACTTTAACCAAAACAGTCCTTTTCCATTTGCTGACTCTGTAACAAACCCCTGAATATCTGTCTTCTTAAATCTTAAATTTCAGGGCAAAAAATATACATATTATGAGCAGCTTGTTAAAAGGGGGAGGGAAAGGGGTAGAGAAATCCATGATCCATTTGAGCAGTTTCATCATTTTAATCTCTCTGTGATACAGAAAAGACTAATTAAATAGAAGAAAGATGCTGCATGCACCAAACTTTAGAGGCACATAGTCTTTAGCATCCCCTAGATGCATCCATCTCAAGGAGTTGCCACTGTTGCTTTACAGATATTTGCCGCTAACTTCAGAAGTAATCCAATAGGGACCATCCATCTCAGTACACAATTTCCTGATCTCTACAAGACCAAACAAGTGCCACACTCCTTTAAGGGTTAATAAATGAAATACCTTACCTCCTGCTAATGTTTAAAGAAACAGATTAAGCTTCAGGGGAGAGAAGTATCATGTCACAACAAAAGCACAAAATCAACAACATCTATGGTGCAGTCACTACCTAGAATCAGCAGGAGAACTACAAGGAGAGCGCTTAATATTAGGCTAGCAAAGTGATACAGCACTGGCTACTGTAGACTAGTGTCAGTTTGAAATAGCACTGAAAAGGGTCTTGTCCCAGCAACACAGGCTCAATGAAACATGTCAATTGTAAGTCAGTTTCCTAGTGGAGAGAGGACTTAAATGGCACATGTATCTGTACGACTGTTGACAACTTCAGAGTATGTTAAAACTCACTGATATTTTTTAATTGCTTGTTGCCAGCAATCACCTATTCCATTTACACTTACAGAATTCCAGTGCCAAAAATCAGATCAGTAATGGCAATGGGCATTACTGAAACATTCAAAAAGGTAACTGGCCAATTTTACGTCCCAAAATTGTTAGCTTTCCAAAAAAGTTTTGTCTGTAGCTCCCCTTAATGAACTAGACTTTCACTGCAAACAGCACAAACTTTGAAATGAGAACAAATTAAAACTGGCAACATACTTGTAAAAAAATACAGTATGCTGTTTAGTATCTTCTAGGCTCCAGCATTCTGTAAATTCAGGAGATCAACTGCTGAAGAGAAGCTGTGCTGCCTTAAAAAACTCCTACTCTTTTCCAGTGTTTAGATAAAGACTGCTTCTGTGAACTGACCCTGGCTTGCAGTGATAAAACCAAGCTACCACATAACAGGTACCCAATAAGCTTAGCCAAAAAGACCCACCAAACAAATAGCCACAATAAAACTACCAGAATAACTGGAACTCAAGCTGGTAGCCTCAGAAGAGGCAAAGTGATTAATCCTATACCATAAAAACAGTCTGTCCCTCCAAGCCAGGACTGAGTCACATGAACAGGGCAGTGCGAGAAAGCTGACCTCTGATGCCAGTATTCTCCCCATTTTAGGACAGAGTACTGTAGTTTGTTCTGAAGGATTGTTTATCACCACCTTTCACAAGCAAATGCTTTAAAAAAAAAAAAGACAAAGGTTTGGGGAAGTATGACTGATGATACAGAGCAGTGAAATAATCTTAACCTCTAAAGCAGAGTTGTGTGTAGGCCAAGAGCATTGGATTTAAACAAGTAAAAGCAAAAACGATAGTCTACACTGTATAGTCTCTCTAGAAACATTTCACAGAACTTGGAAAAGAACCGACTTACTTGTTGCCGAATCCTTGGGTTCCACCTAATGTAATAATTGACCCAAAGTTCCAGGTGACGCATGCTGGCTACTGGATAAAGTGCTCGATTCAGTTCTTTAGTATAAAAAGGATTGATGTACTTGGCCTTTTCACTGTTTATCAATGACCATAACGACAATGTTTTTTCAGCCACTTTCTGAAATGAAATGGTAAGAATTTCAAATATGTATACAGTACAAGTCTGTTATGGTAACTGTGGTTACACTCTTCCAACTACAACAGAAGCATGCTAGACGAAGCGTCACATTTACAAATCACTACACTAAAATATACATGTACACTAACTCAAACTGACAATGTACTCTAAAATTTGCATGTAGTCTTCTGAATACACGAAAACAAACTTGTTAGTACCAGTTCAAGTATGCTTGTGTTCCTTTCTTGGCTATTTATAATTAAGCTGTTACAACTATTAGGATGAGAGTCTCAAAACTATACAGAACTTTACAGATCATCAGTTTTACCTACCTCTTTGTCTCTGGCAGACTCACAGCTGTACAAAAAAGTACCAAATCGGCAGCTGTACAAGTGATCCAGAATTGTAATCAAGAATTGTTCATTGAATTCAAAAGCTGTAGGAAACTAGCAACAAAGTCAAGAGTTAGAGATCTGTTTATACATATGTGCTTGTGCATGCCCACACTCGGTCTGAGCTACTAAGCCATAAAAGCCAGTTAGAAAGTCTGTCACAGTCTACCAAAAAAGAGTTTCCCTATGACAAAGCCAGCACTATAAATGTGATGAATTACTGATTAATGGACAACAAATAGAAAAAGATGAAAATTCCTATGCACTCTTATCACCAGACAATACATCTCTTTAGATAAAGTGTACCTTTACATCTAAAACAGAATGCCACTTCAAGATGGATGAAATAACATTCCTTTAACACAAGACTGGATTCCATAGTAAGTCAGGTGCTTTTTTAGTTTGTTTCATTTTGGTTTTGCCTTTGGGTCCAAAAGAAGATTAAGACTGAACTAAAAGAAGGAATTTGGAGGTGATAGGTAAAGAACCACTGCTATTTATGAGGAACATCTGTTGAGACTTCTCTGCCAGATGTAACAATATTAGAAAAGAATTTATCAAAACAAGATGCAGGCAGATAAGGCTTGAGGTCTGTACTAGGCTATGGGTGCCTGCAGTACTTGGTTAGCTGCACAGTACTGTTACACTAAGTAACTTTTTACCTTCAAGACCTCTCTCAAAATGGGGACAATAAGTTTCTATAAAAACCTGAATAAAAAAATATCTGTAGCAGGAAGATGATGGGAGTCTACAGAATAAATTTGAACTCTATACTTTTATGAATCATTAGCTCTCTAGTAGACCTACAATTCTTAAGAGTCAACCGAAGTCACTTAATCAGTGCTGAAACAGAAGAAAAACTAATTCACCTGCAGTAAAGTTAATGAAAAAATTACAAGTCTATAAAATGTCAACAAGTAACACTACTTTGCACTGCTACCTCAGAAAATTAAATTTTGAATAGCTTTGCTACATGAAAGAAGCTTTGCCACATAGAGAGATAATGCACTTAGTTTTGTAACTTAAAAAATGACAGCATCACATTAGGGGTAGCAGCAGTGAGGAGCTTCCATAATCTGGACAGCACTGAAGGGGTAAATTCAGTTTGAATTTAAAATGGAGACAGGAAATCAGTCTCAGCACTCTTAAAGGATTACCAGTGGGGGGATAAAAAAAAAGAAGAAGAAAAAAAAGGAAGCAAGAGAAGTTTTTTCTACGTATGCTGACACTAAAGTGCTTCTAATTATTGTGTCCTCATGTAAGGGAGCTGTGTTTCTATGAACAGCTTGGGGAAAAGTTTAATGGAATGAATAAATTAATAAAAACTAACTCTAAAATAGGACCAAAATAAATGCAACAATCTGCCACTATTCCAAATATTCCTAAGGAAGCACCCATTCAAGATACGACAAAGGACAATGCATGAACAGTTAGTTAGCGATCAAGAGTATAAACCTGCAGATTAATTTCTAGTTATTTAAAAAGGAAAAAAGGAGAAAGTTAACTTTGAACACAATGCAATTGTGTTGCTTTCTGCTACCGGATCAGAGAACACTTGTAGTATACTTTGAGGATTTGGGCTCTTAAAGATTATTTTAAAATAATATTGATTTGCTGGATTTTAACCACCTTTGACAGAGAAATACAACCTACCTGTTTAGACATTTGCCAAACACAATCAATGAACTGCAAAAAGATAGGTGATCTATCAGCATCAGCATGGTTTTTATCGCCATGACCTATTCTCTGAAATGCAATAATGCAAGTCTTATGTTAGTCAAAAATGTTTATTATACAGCCAATTCCATTAAAATAAAAGTCAAGATACAGGTTAACATGAATATAATGCAGCAATTTTAAGTCCATAACGCAGACCTGGGTGAGGAGTGATACTAAAAACCTGCTCCAGTTATAAACTGCTTTGTTGATGGGAGATGAGCAGTTAAGTATTCTATGAATGGTAGAGATCCAGAACCGAAACACTAGTTCAAAAAAAAAAAAAACCAAAAAAAAACCAAAACAAAACAAAACAAAAAAACAAGAACTTCTTTGAATTCCTGCCCTAATAGTCTATCATTAGAGTGCTAATAGCTTTGCTTGAGACTTCAGCAATTAGGAAGCTTTGATGTGGGATGATGGCCTGTTAATTACTGAACTTCCTAAGTAGGTAGGCACCAGGAGGGAAGCAGTAGGTGCCAGGAGATCCAGGCACTGCTGAGGGTGGGGGGCAAATGTTGGAGGGGACAGGCAACAGGGGTAAAGCTGCTCGACTTCCCCACTGCCTGCCCCCCTGCCAATACCTTTCCTGTCACAGCAGTGGAGTGGGGGAGGGAGGAGCAGGGGGAGACAGAGTCAAATTTAAGACAATCCTCCAATTAATTAGATTCTATATATGGGAAAATTATAACAACTTTATATTTTTTCCATGTGTAGAATTTAAATTATTGGAGGGTTGTCTTAAATTTGAAGTTGCCTTGGATTCAGGCAAGTACTGTAATTTGAAGAATTCCAAAAGGAAGCACTTCAAAGAAGTTCCTCGGTTATGGGGATCATTTTGAAGCACCTTGGCAATTTGCTTGTCAAATGTGAGCTCACTAGTTGTAGTCAGAAGGCTGAATCCTGAACTCCAGGCTTTGCTCCCTGGAGGACTTTTTCTATTTTTTTGCGTTGTTACCCCCTAAAAGCACTATAACAGTAGCCATTCCATACCTGAAACAGGAAACAAGGTGACAAACTATGGGTCTTGCTGAAGTGAAAACTTGCTATGGAATGGCTTCAAAAGTGGATCATTCTGCTCAGGTGTGGCTAATTTATTTTTCATCACTTCAGGCTGTTTGAAGAATTGTTCAAACCTTGAAATACTGGGCAACTGGAAGGTTGAAAACACTTACTGGAATGTTCAGAAAGCATCATTCCCGCTATTATTTTTTCCTAACTCTCACCGATGCAAATTTGTGTCCAAAAGAGATCCACTCCTTTTGTACCAGAACTTCAAAACCCACAACTGTTCTGTAGTAGCTGTCCAACATCAACATGGCCAGAGACGTTAGTTGTGCTGTTCGGTCCCAACCATCACTACAATGTACCAGCACAGAGCTCTTCCCTGAGGACACCTTATCTGCCACTTGAATAGCTCCTGTCAAGACAAGCTGGAAAAGGAAACAAATACCAGACAATGTAAGAGATCAGTGCTGTTATCCTAGCCAACACACGTGATTTCTTATAATTTTGGTTAACCAGAGTTGAGGAAGAGCAAGTGGGAGAGCTGATTTTTTGTTTATTTTTTTAGTTACTTATTGTGAGATGAGTTAGGTCCCCTTGTCTGTTAGTAAAATCAATGTAGTCTAGTCTCGTTTTCCATATTTATAGAATATTTTTTTGCTCTACTTCCAATTAAAAAACAAATCTGGGCAGGAAGGTGTATCTTCAGAGAGGAAGACACTATGATCTACAATGGAATGTGCCTACTTTAAAAGTTATATGTTTCAAATAACTGTTACATCTCTACGGCCTGCATCCTTTCGATATTCCTATTTTTGCAACTATTTGCTGAAGTTAGAAATTCTATTTAAGAAGTAATTACTATAGCAACACACACTTTCTTCAAGCTTATATTTAATGTACAAATATAAAGGGTACTAAAATACAGCCAGAAGCATGATCATTAATACACACCTATTTCAATTCCGTTACAAAGGGAAGTACATTCCTTATACTTTTGAAAGGAAATCAAATTGAAAGTTCTGTCCAATTAGAATTACCATGCTCAACTTGTAGACAAATGCAACAGTTTTATCTCTGCATTTTCTGTTGCAACCCAGGATATATCGGATAGTTTATTAAACAAGTGACTATTGAACAGATTAAGAGGAAGTTACCCGGGGGCACTATCTTCCTCCTGTCAAAAAGCAAGGTATATTAACATTCAAAGCAATACATTTCACTTACAATTGCTAAAACAATGCCACTAGCATGAGACACATATGACTAGCTACAAGTTATTAGATATTAGTCAGACTGCAAAGCCATATATGTTAATAAGACATACTCCACATTGTGTGGCATACATAAAAAATGCTCATTAAAACTATCATCTCTTTCAGAAAGTAGGATCTAAGACAGCAACTCCAATACTTGAAAAACAGTTTTACATAACTTCCAACAAGCAAATTAGGATGCTTTTATGATACTGGAATTCTGCAACTACAATAACTAATGTTCTTCAGTACATTTATGGAAAATAAAGCATATTAATGCAGTTTAATTCTCTAAAAATTAAATAAAAAGAAAAATCTTATACAAAATAAATTGTGTAGAATTATACAAATCTACTCAAGAGAAACTATTACTTAAAAATACAAAACCCCAAAAAACTCACTTTGATATGTTCTAGCCAATGAGTTGATTCCAGACTTGACAACCAATGAGATTCTTCTACATTAGGATAAACAATGTCCTTCAGCTTTTTTAAAGATTCCCTCATGACATGGATATTATGAATATCTAAGAAAAAAAGTTCTGCATTGGGATATGCATCTTCACTTTCATATCCTCCCCCAGTTGCCTAAAAAGCAAACAATTTTAAAATTTAGTTTGAATAGTCATGTATACTCTATTAGAACAATACTTTAATTTAAAGAGCGATTTTAGGGTCTACTTTAAGACACCATGCGAAACATTTTAGAAGACAGTTTGACAGATGACTACATTAGATAAACACTATTTTGCCTTGGCTTTTTTGGTTTCTTTCTTTAGGCATTTAGATGCATGCTGTAAGAGGTATTAATAAACCCCATAAACCTATGTTTGCATAGGTGACTGGCTCCAAAACTATGCTTTTTAACAAGGTACATGATGCACCAAATCCAGATCAACTCCATTAATCTAGGCTTTGTTTTGCCTAGATACCTGGGCTGGATACCTGACAGTAAGTGCAGCCTACTTTGACACTGGGAGGTGGTGGAGAGGGGGAAGCCCACAACAGGGACCCAGGATGCAAGCTCTCGTCCAGACCAGCAAAAGGCTGCCTCCCCTCCCCCCATGCTAGATGGATGCCTGTTGTGTTTTTTGTTTGTTTGGCGGGGGGGGCAAGTACTGCACCAAACAGGGTGGCACAGTGGAGGGAATAAGGATGTTCAGCTTCACCCATTTATTTTCTAAACACCTGGCTTCGAGCAGAATCAACAGCCATAGCTCCCAATATAATGCATGGAGAAGGGTTAAATGCCTCCAAATGAGATTCATGATGGCCAGCATGTTGAGTAGGAGAACACTTAAGATAAGCATTAAGAAATATTGACAAGAGGGGTGTATATGAAATCTCACAATTCTCCAACTTTAGCACTTCACTCACCTGCTAGAGGAAAGTTCTGACTTCTAGTCCCTGCTTGCAAAACAGCTTCTGCATTTTATCCAAGCACTTACGCAAGATATAGAACAGTGCTTGGAGCAGGGATTAGAAACCAGGTCTCCTCTCTCACACATGCTTCCTTACCCCTGGGCTACAGAATCATGTGCATTCTCCCTGTCCCAGGGTACAATTTCAACAAGAGTGGTGGAGTTATAGGTATGTCTGTAGCTTAATGGTTCAGGCACTCTCATGGGAGGTGGGAGATGTGGGTTTGAATTTACTCATGCTGAGAACCCAGGTCTACCACTTCCAAGATGAGTGCACCACCCCTGTATCCCTCTTTCAGCCATGTTTGAGTGAAGGTGGCCATAGCTGTTGCGTTTTGCTGTCAGCATGTTGGGTGTGCTAATGTCACTACATAAAGAACCAGGCCCCTCATGGAATCTAGGTGCAAGGATGCTTAGTTTGTGGACCCTGATCAGGGTCCCCTATCAGATAAGTGCACAGATACTCCATACCCATCTAGACAGAACTCAAAGCACCTGGGTAACTTAGCGAACACTCGGGCAGCTATGGGCCGAGGTGAAGCTTCTGTGGATCACATTGTCACTTAACACCCAAACTCCATCTAAATCCTTTTGTGGATTTTGGCGTTGGTTTTGATGACACGTTAATCATTGCAGTGTTGTTAGTTTAAGTATTTATAGAAGCTTCATAGCTAGAAGCAGTGAACTTAGGGAAATTGCCTATTTTTTGTACTGGAAACAGAATTAGGATGTCTACTTACCTTGTTAGCTACTGCATTTACATTGGGCCTTGCATCATAGATAGTTAGTTTTGATATTTGTCCATTTGCTTCCCTGATGATATCAAGATACTTTTCATCATCCTTATTCCGTTTACCACTCATACCTACAAGAGGTTGACTGCAGCGCATAATAACAGCTTGATTTTCTGGATGAATCCATGACAGCACCTAGTCACATGCCCAAAAAATATTAGCAAGCAATCCACATGGTTGAGCGTCACATATTAAAGCACACTAGTTAATATGAAGGTTCACATGTTTGGACCTCGTTAACATGAAAGAAATTCTTAAAAAATTAGGGTGTGTATGGTCATAATTTTAAGAGTTATCAGCTCGTATTATTAGAAGAAAAGACATTACAAGATCTATTAATGATTATACACATATATTCTCTTTCCAATTTATATATGAAGAAATTCTGCTTTGTTTATTTTTACCATGTGAGGTTACATAAATAATCCTGATTATAAACAAATGCAGGAATGCCCAAATGAATTACGCAAGGGCTCAAAACGGTAATTCAGGATCACTGATTATTCCCATACATTTCAACGAGGGCCCCAGGATTCTACAACTTCACAGCCTGGCATTTTTCCATGATTTTAAGAATTTATGCTGCAGTCACAAGTCTGACATTTTGGGGGGGTTTTCCCCCGTGCTACAGATGCCTTCGGTTTCTCAGTCATCTCTGCAAGTGGGAGTTAACTGCAGTACAGAGTACATCTGGCACTATTCCACTAAGCCAAACATGCTAGGAAGGGGGCAATAAGGAAGATGGCGAGGTGAATTGTCAAAAGAACATTTCAAGGTCTGAGAAACCAGTAAGATAAACCTTTGAAGCTAGGTATAAAATTTCTCAGCTTGCCCTAAAAACCAATGAGGTAGAGGATTCTCAGTTACCTTGACAATATTACAGGCTAAGGAATTGAGTCAGGCCACCAGGAAAACATAGCATAACCCCACCATCAAAAATAAACATAATCCTCAATTTTATATCAATGAGCTGCATGGGAATGGGAAAGAAAAGCTATTTCATAGCAGAAGAATAAAATTAAGACTCCCTGCCCAAAGGATCAAATTTCATGGAAGACCATACAGCCTAGCACTAGGATTAACCCAGTTAAGGCTGGAGGAATGGGGAGGGAACCTAGTAGTGAGTCAATTTGGTACCTTCAGCATATTACTAAGCCTGGTCTGGCATTTCTTTTTAACATGACCACATGTGCATGGATGCACATTTAAATTATAAAAAGGGAAGTAAAAAAAGCACCCCACAGGGATTAGTCAAAATGGTATATACTGAAATAGAAGTTTAATGCCCCAATATACAGCTACAGTTTATTTATTCTGTGGTTGCTAGTTAATATTTAAAGATGTTCTTTTTCACAAAGCAGTTTAACTTTAGAAAATGCACCCAAATAGGTCAAAATAGGATTACTTTATTTTTATTTGAATTTTCTAAGCTGACAATTTTGTAAAGCTAAAAAAAAAAAGGGCTGGCAATTCAATCTGGACACCATGCAGGAGATTTGGCTTTAGGAGAAGTGACCTTGAGACTTATGTTCAACTGCCAGGTGGTTTCCATGCAAATGAGAAGGGTAACATTTGTCATCAATTCTTAAGTGCATCCAACAATAGTTGGTTCACAAAACAGTACAGATGGTGGCCCAAGATTCATGCTCTATCAAGAAAAGGGAATGTGCAAAGGTGACAGTGTTTTCTTGAAAAGGGAAACTGAAACAAAATTGGGACGGGACATATTTCTGTGGTGGACCTAGTAAGGAGGCTTGTCGGTCACAGCACTTAAGTAATCCAATCCATTTAAGTTACTTTACTGCAACTGAAAGAAAAACAGAGCCCCTCATGTCACATTTATGTGTATGCTTAGTGGCAATTACTCTTTAAGGCAAGTTCTGCTGTCTACAATACTTACTGGAATTCTATTTCGGGACCTAAATGCAGCAACCTTCTTGAGATCATCTTCTGAAGCATAATATGGGACTACCAAAAGTGATGGATACGTGTCACACAGGCTGTAATGTTCATTGATAAAAGTTACTCTCCACCGGTCATTGGGCAAGCCCTTAAAAACAACACACAGATAAGAGTACATGTTACTCTAGTATTTCAGGTCTCTATAAACTGCTCTTTGTACTTGTACTTTTACAAGCTATTTCAGCCACATGGTGGCAACGGAAGCTTAGAAGTTTACAGGACCACACAAAACAGGACTCTCCTGATGCTTTTAAATAATAGAGTTAAAAAACAGGCTCTCAAACAGATAGCCCTAATTTCCACAACAAATTACAATTTCTACAAATCTAACAGTCAAATGAGCAGAAAACCATTTTAAAAATATTTAAATAATTAAGGTACAGGAGGGAAAGAAAACATCTTCCCCACTCCCTTCTAGAAAAGTGCCTTTCCACCTGGCCTAGGAGGGAAAAGTTATAAAAAGCATAGCTCCAAAGAAGAGGAAAGCCTGCTTTGAACCCCCACCCCTCTTAAGACTTATACTCATTTAAAACAAAGAAATAAAAACATTTGCTGACCCTCCTGCTTAGGTAGGAAACACAAACCACCTGTCAGCTGAGCAGACTGCTGATGGATCACCATATCACAGCACAGCCCAGGTAGTCCACCAGGGAACTGAGAGGGGCTGACAAGCTCCCCATCCACACATACACACTCAGAGTGGGGTTTGTGTGGGTGTCTGAATTTTTACCTTTTCTTTAGGCCTGGGCCTCTAAAACTTGGACCAAACAGATGCTGCATGAATCTGGATACTCCTTAGCCCATCAGAAAAATTACAAGGAAAAAAATCCAAGACAGTTGTTATGGCTTGTTGGGTAAACATAATTTAAAACAATGTACTTAGCACTTATATGTACACCATACCATAAAAGAATCTCTGGAGCCATCTTGCGAGGGTGTTTACCTAACTTATAAGTGTGCATTTTTAATTAAATACACCATATCCTTTCTTTTGTGGCCATTTTTTTTTCATGCTACAAAGAGCAATTCAAATACTGATGTGAAAATAAATAACTACTGAAAGAAAGTATACAGTGGCCATGAAAAACAGTTTAACCTTTTGGAAGTACCAGAATGGATCACACTTGCATAATTATTTTAAGTGCATGTGCATCACCCCCACAGCTTTTAGGACAGGGCTCTAAATATCCACAGTTAGACTCCTAGTGAGAAAATTTAAGGATTTTTTCAAATCTGGCTTATACAGGATCTCATTGCAGGTGGGGATTTCAGCTGATCTCATCAAAACTTTCACAGCTGATTTTATAAACCTTGCATTTCAAAAGTTTGTAACGGAGACAAACTTTTAGTGTCATCTTTATTTTACATTCAGTGACTACAACAGAGCAACTAATTCTTCAGTAAGTTTATTATAGATAAGTAAATTATGTTTATAACTTGTCTTCAAAGTACAGAGCCACCTTACTACTCGGTTCTGTTTAAGTCTTAAAAGAAACAACACACTGAAGCATCCGTCTTAATGTTTAATCATATTTCTCTAGTCCCTGCTCTACATCCTAGCCCAGAAGAAAGAGTTGATAAATGGATTTTACTTTTTTTTGTATGCGTTTCAAAACAGTAAGTCTCAGGTAACAGAAGCACTATAAAATAGCAACATTAACTTACTTGTCTCCTGTATTCGGACATTGGATTATAAACCATCCAACCATTTTCAGAAAACTTCTCTTCATTTACAAATGCAAAAAAAGGCTGTAAGAAGAAAAAAAAAGAAAAATCACACAATTCTAACCAAAATTTGTTTATGCAGAAAACTCATGTACTAAATAAGTGTCATGAAACCGGATCAGTTCAAGTTGCCACACCAGTTCACGATCCATTCAAAGTTGAGCCAGAGTGTAACAAAGTGCAATACACAGAACTTGTAATCTAGTTTTTTAAAGTCGTTAATAAAAAACTTAGAATAAATATGACAATTGAGTTTTAAATCACATTTTGAACATTCAGGAAGCAAAACAAGTGACAATGAGGTGAGTGAAAGTAGTAACAGCTGTTTACTGTTTAAGCCAAGCCAGGTGAAGATTTCTTTAGCTACTTCAAAGTCTAGTTTATTTCCAGTAGTTTCAGATTCAACCATAAGCAAATAGCTGCTCTTCAACTTAAACTCCCCAATAACTGTAGCTGCCACTGTTACTCGTGACATGGAGCAGAAGTGAAAACATTGGACAAATGCTGGAGCTAGGGCTGATTTCTAGGACACCTGAAGTTCTACTGTAGTAGTCTATTGCAGTAATTTTAACAGCATGCTGAAAAAGACTCCATAATTTTTATTTACCAAAAAAAGGTTATTATGCAAGATGGTTCCTGTACCTCCCCCAGTGGGCTAAAAGCTAAATGATAATTTTATATTTAATTGAGATCTCTCTCAATTAAAACCACCAAGTACAGGCAGATGAATTTTAAGCACTGCCCATCGTAAGATTTATGGGCAGGGAGGGAATATGAAAAAACAGAGCATTTTACAGAAAAAATGTTTACAAAAAGTGTCAATTTTGAGAGGTAAGTCTGATACTTGGTATATCCATTCAGAATATATGGCTCCAGGTACAGTCAAATATACACTTTGCCTTTTCCCTCTCAAAGCCCCCCCCCAGGCTTGCACTGAACTTCAACATCCACCTTTATCATCACTCTGAGAATTAACTAATGATATAACATGACATCAGTAAAAAGTTTAGACATATAGATGAAACTTCATAAAAGGACTGTAAGATGTCTCAATTCAGTCATGTTTAGTGAATGTTTTACCGGTCTTTCTTATAGTCAAAAGTAGAAAAGAAGATAGCAGCAGATATGCAAAACAAATTGGAGTATTGAAAACACACCTGGAAACGGTGCCAATCCTTGCTCACAAAGGTTTTTCTGTTTTTAACTTGCTGGTTTCATCTGTTCTATATACTATACATCACCAACCTGTTATTCAATGAAAAGCCTGCCACTTCCATAACAAACGCTTAAAACAAAGTTGCCACTTTGCCTATCATGAATTCTTTTTCTGGTTTTCACTTGCAAATAAAGATCAGACATTTTGAGTACTAATTAAAACCTGACTGTTCCTGAAAACTAAATACCCTTACACTGTTGTTGTACTAAAATTGGTGGAAAGTTTTTTTTTTAAACACACATGAAGTCAAAATGGTTTTCAAATCATGTCATGAAATCCCCTCAATACTATCACAGATCTTAAACTGATTTTAAATCATGGTTCTTTGTGTCATCTAAGTAACTTTCAGTCCACATCACTGACTTGCTACAAACATTAGTGTACCTACAGACTTCTCAGCTCTACTAGAAGTATATCACTATTGTGATATACTAAATATGCATTTGATGTTTTACTGCTGGAGAGTGGTGGTGTCCAGGAAATTCATCTTAAATCTCAGTGTCAAAAACTGAATAGTTCTCTTCACATCCCAGTTTATTTCTCAACAATTAAGTTTCTCATTTATAAAAGACTTGAAAGTGAGGTGTAATGGAAAATAACTCTCCTCCCCCCACCCATGAGGCACAGAAATATTAGCAGGCACTGTTAAAAACAGGTGCTATGAAAGAACAG